TGCCTCCCAAGTGCTAGGATTAAAGGCCTGCGCCAACACACCCAGCGCAGCCTGCCTTCTTATGCAACACAGGCCCCACCTGCCCAGGGGTGGCACCACCCACAGTGCTGGGCCCTCCCACATCATTCAGCAATCAAGAAAGTACCCCATGGACATGGCCACAGGCCAGTCCAATGAGGGAAATTCCCCAATTGGTTTTTTTGAGACAAGATCTCCCTGTAGCCCCAGTTGTCTTGGAACTCACTATGTAGACCAGGCTGGCCTCGAACTCACAGAGATCCACCTGCCTCTGCCTCCCAAGTGCTAGGACTAAAGGCATGAGCCACCATGCCTGGCCCGATTTTTATTTTTAACTATTTAATTATTTAATCCAGAAACATTGGCTCCCCAGAAGCTGGACTTACAGGTAATTACAGGTAATTAATTATGAGCCACCTGGTATGGTTGCTAAGAATTGAACTCATGTCCTCTGGAAGAGCAATATGTGCTCTTAACTACTGAGCCATCTCTCCAGCCTTTTTGATATTATAAATGAAAGATTTAAAATTTTTCATTTTGAAATAGTCATGCTCCTTTATAAAAATACAGTTGGTTTTTATATATTAATCCTATGTCCTGTGACCCTACTGAATTTATTAGTATTAATAGTTTTTTGTTGTTCTTTTTTAGGTGTGAGGAGTAAAGCCAGGGCCTTGGGCCTACTGGGCAAGCACTCTGCCCTGGGCTGTAACCAGAGCCCGGAGCTGGCTCAGCTTTTTAGTGCATTGCTTGAGTTTTCACACGCAGAATCATCTCGGGAAGTAGAAAGCTGGATGTGGTGGTGCACATGGCACCCTTGGAACTCAGGAGGTTGAGGCAGGCGGACTGAGGCCAGCCTGGACTGTGTAGCTGAATGAGACCCTGTGTCAGACACCAGAAGGTCTCACAGCTTCCCTTTGAGCTGGAGGTCTTGTGTTCTTTTTTCTTGCCTGGTTGCCCTATAAGAATCTTCTAGCAGAGCCGGGTATGGTGGCGCACGCCTTTAATCCCAGCACTCGGGAGGCAGAGGCAGGCAAATCTCTGTGAGTTCAAGGCCAGCCTGGTCTACATAGAGTTCTACGCCAGCTGGAGCTACAGTAAGACCCTGTCTCAAAATCTTCCAGCACAATGCCAGCTGCAAGTGGTGACATCAGACTTCCCTGTCTTGTTCTGCTCTTAGAATAATGTCACCCAGTCCTTCCCTGCACCAGAAGGTTGAATACCTTCTTCTCTTGTGTCTTTGCTGCCACTTCTGGGGCCTGGCCTGTGTTGTGTCACTTGTTCCCACCACCAAAAATGAGGAGCTTGAGTCAAAGTGTGGTGGCACATGCCTTTAATGCTAGTGGTGGGGAGGCAGAGGCAGGTGGCTCTCTGGGAGTTCAAAGCCAGCCTGGTCTGCGTAGTGAGTTCCAGGCCAGCCGGAGCTGCATAGTGAGACTTTTTCAAAAACAAACCAACCAACCAAGGCCTTCCTCAACAGCCTCCATACCCATTATGACTACCTTTGTGGTTCACAGTTCTGATGACCCTAACCTAGGTAGAAACTGCAAAACTCCAAACATGTAAGCAGAGCTGTTTGAATGAGTCCGTATTTCTTTCCATTGAAATCTTAAACTCTCAGGAAGAAGACATTAGATTGAGGACACCTCTCATTTCTACAGGGACCTACAGCTTCATCTGCGCCCTTCTAACATCTAGTCCTCTGTTTCCAGACTCCCAGCGTTCTCATCTCTCCTCCTTCACCATGAAGCTGATGGACAAATTCCACTCTCCCAAAATCAAGAGAACGCCATCCAAGAAGGGAAAGCCAGCCGAGGTGTCTGTGAAGATTCCAGAGAAGCCCGTGAACAAAGTAAGCTGACTCTTGAGGTGTTCCTCCTGGCCCCAGCCTGTGGCCCCTGTGAGATGCACTGTGTGTGAGTGTGCTCCCCAGGGCCATTCCTGGGACCTGGGACCTTTAGGGTGATAAGTGCCTGTCCTGCTCGTCAGCCAGTCAGTGGCTAGGACAGTTTTCTCCCTTCTGTATCATTGTCTGGGCATTTAAAGTAGCTCAGAGCACTGTGCTGTGCTCATACCTGGTGCTGCCTCCTACCTAGAGGCCCCCACTTTGCCCTGGGGCACTCTCACACAGGTCTCTGATGGCCTGAAGCAGTCATTCAGCCTCAGGGCCTGGACTCTGAAACTCAAAGACCCCTCAATTCCAGCCAGAGATATCCCCCAGTACTAGTAACCTCAACAGGGCCAGCTGTGCCAGATGTGGACAGCTGTTGATTCCATCAACCCCTCCCTTCAGCCTACAACGGTCATTTCAAGCTCTGTAGGAATCCAGGTTTCCTCTCTTCCAGGAGGCAAGAGACAGATTTCTACCAGAGGGCTACCCTATCCCCTTGGATCTGGAGCAGCAGGCAGTAGAATTTATGTCCACCAGTGCTGTGGCTTCCAGGTCTCAGAGGCAGAAGGTCAGTGTGACGTTAAGAACAATTGGGGTTGCCTTGCCTTCTACTGCAGAACTCTGGTCCATGGTTTGGGGATGGAAAACACCTGTGGCAATGTCATTGTGTCTTGGCTGGGTGGTACCTATGGGCTGAAGTGTTCAAAAAAATGCTTGGATAACCCTGGCCGGGCGTGGTGGCGCACGCCTTTAATCCCAGCACTCGGGAGGCAGAGGCAGGCGGATCTCTGTGAGTTCAAGGCCAGCCTGGTCTACACAGTGAGTTCCAGGACAGCTGGGGCTACAGGGAGACCCTGTCTCAAAAAGATAAAAAAAAAAAAAAGCATTTATCCGAGTGGCCCTGGTCTGGGAGGGAGCTCAGTCCTCCACAGCTCAAGCTTGGGCTCCTTTCTGGAGTGGGGTCAGTTGTACTGTTTCGGTCCAGCGGGCACTGGGGCAGATGGACAACTATGACCTTTCAGAGAACAGCTGTTCTCTCCTTGAGTTGCTGAGATGATATGAATGATTGGCAGAGAACAGGCTTCTAAAGCCTCGGGCGCTGTCTCAACCAGGTGCAGTGCTCTCAGAGCCAAGGACGCCATGTCACCAGGGCCTCTTCCCAACCTGTGCTGAGTGCTTCACACCCTCTTTCCAGTAGCCCTGATAAGTGAGAACTTACCTGCCTAAAAGACTGAGTCTATGAAGACAAAACATTTAGCTGAAAAGTTGCAGGACAAACGGCAATGTCCAGGTTTGAGCGTAGGCTGTCCTCCGTGTCGGCCTGAGTTCTGACCCCTCCTGCTTAGGATCGAATCCAGGGCCTTGTACATTAAGAGTACAGCAGAGGCTTTACCCCTGAGCTACACCCTCAGCCCTCATTTTTATATTTGTTATTTTCGTTGTTTCATTGTTTTGCCTGCAGGGCTGCAGGTGTGTGCCGCCTAGCCTACTACTACATCTCTTCTTTAGAGCAGGCTACACTGCATGTGTTAGTAGCTTACAAACCTAAATATTAATGATCTTGGTGCACTACTTTACATCAGAAGTGCAGTTCACAGTGTAAAGTTAAAAATGGTTTTGTAGACCAGTTGAGCCTCATCCCCAGTGACTGTGCCAAGGGTAATTTATGCAGAACTGCTGTCATGGCCACCAGTTAATGCCACTCACAGGTACTGCCTGTCCTTGTGGAGAAGCAGAGTATCTTTCAAACTAGCTAAAAGTGTAAAAAATAAAGATTGTGAACCCAGAAAGCCTTTGTTGGATGCGTTGTTTGCTGATGAGCAAAGGGACGTACTCATGTTGTACCAGACGCGCTGCTTCCAGTGGGGAGGCTGTGAGTAGGGAGGGCTAGTCTGTGTCACAGTGTGCACAGCACACTTTTGAGCTGAACCCCCAAGTGTAAGCCCCCCACACCTCCAGACCACACAGAATAACTGGCTTATTGACCACTGCCCTGCTAGAGAATGCTGACAGGAACCATTCAGCTGCTGGTCTTTGAATCCTCCCTCTATTTATTCCTTTTCCAAAAAGAAGTCAGGGAGGAAAATCTGACATAAAAGCTCACTCTATCTGGTGTCTGCAAACCCCACGGGGCATTTGTTACCACAGAAGGCTGAAGCAGGCCTACTGGACACCCAGCAATGTGGTGAATGCCTGTAGTGCTCAGGGTGCCTTCCCCCAGCCCTGACATCCAATGCTGAGGCGAAGCCTACTCCATGGTCCATGGCAAGGAGCTACAGGCCCAGCCTCACCTGTTACGGCTCCTTTAACAGGGGTTGGATTGCTGTGCTGTGAACCAAGTTGCCAGCATGGCAGAGTGGGGACAAACCTGCTGCTTAGTGCAGGCCCCCAGACAGAGCCGGAGTGCCGGGGCCTGCCACAGCACAGGGACAGAGAGGACGGTGTCCAGAAAGTCTTGTGGGGGCCTGCCACTGTCATCATCTGCCATTGATGCTGTCACCGCGTGCAGTGTGTGCCATCCATCCTGGTTCACCCCGTGTGCATGACCCCCTGTTGAAATACGTGGGCGTGTGCAGCATGAAGAGTAGATTCAATCACCACCCTTCTGAGGTCTCTCTGCCCCGCCCCTGTCCTGTGTGGTTTCACACCTGGTGTTTCCTTTACTCTCCTCTCTAACCATGGGAGGAAGGCTTTGTTATTTCTAATATGCAGACAGTATTGGTTATGGTCCAGGTTTTCTAATTAAGATCTGTTCTCTGCACTGTAGTCTGTTGTCTTTCTAAACTGTGTTTATTTAGACATGGTAGCCTTTCACAGATGAGTTTGTAAACTCTTTTACAGCTGTTTAAGCAAGCAAGCAGTGAGCATGCTGGGTGTTAAAAGTAGAGAAAATTTAGCCACATTCCAAGTCTGAAGCTGACAGTCCCTGCATGATCAGTTTGCAGTGTCTAGAAATGGGTCAGCAGGGCTGAGTTCTCCAACCCTCAGGGATCTGGATAGTGACTGGATCCTGCCCAATAGACTCCTGAAGGGGTTCCCTTTCAATTCTGCAGACCTTATGTGAAGCAGACAGATGCCCTTGCCCCAGAGCCTGGCATTGCTGAGCTCTGTCTGTTAGCTGTACCTTCTTACTGGGCCTGACTGTCGGGGCAGAGGAGAGGAGCAGAGTTAAGTTGTTAGTTCCAGTTTTCTATATGCTGATGCTAATTTGCTTCCCCCAGCTCAGCTCAGCTCAGGCCTGCAGGTTCACTGCCCTGCAGCGCTAGGAACTCAACTTGGTTTCCAGGAAGCAGAGAGGCCAGGGCTGCAGGCAGACCAGGGCACGGAAGTTAGAGACCAGGTATCGGCTGCTCTGCTGTGGGCAGTGGCTTTGAAGACCATGGCTAGTTTGTGTCCCTTCCTTCTCCGGAGCCTGTCCTGTTTAGTGGCAGCCAAGCGCAGGTGCTGCAGGGCCACTGCCAGGCAGGAGAGTAATCACAGTTTCTATCCGTCCATCTTCTTTTACTCATTTATAAACGAGAGCTTTGAACCAGGGGCTCTCCAGGCATTTCTTAATTCTTCCCAAACTTTTTTTTCCTTTAACGTGATGGTGTTTTGCTATGTTGCCCAGCTGTCCAAGTCGCAGCCTCAGTTTCCTCACTTGTGTAATAATGGCATGTGCCTGTGGAGTGGCTTCAGCCCTTAAACAAGCTGTCCCTCAGGATGTCTTTGACGCCCTCAGGCAGCTGCACCCTAGTGCTTTCTCCCTCTCAGGTTTCTACATCCTTTGTGTTATCACTGGCAGAGAGATAATCTCGGATCCTGTTGTAGCGCCTCTTAAATGTTACAAATGGTGTGCTTACCTTCGTTCAGCCTCCTCCTTTGTTTGTTTGTCTGTTTTACCGGGCTAAGGATAGAACCCTGCCCTTTCCATGCCTAGGCAAGTGCTGTATCACTGAGCTCCAGTCCCAGCCCCAATCTTCCAGTTTGACTTCACTAACACAGGACAGAAGTGTTCACCTGTGTCAGATAAGGAGGGCCCAGTTTGGCCTTGGATCTAGGCCCCTCCCAGGCCTAGGGAGTTGCCAGACTTTTGGAGGCAAGTAGGGGCAGCTGCTCCCCTGGGCTGGGAAGGGTATGCATGCATGTCCACTGTCACTCTGAGGTTATGAGCTGGGTGGCTGGAGTTCCCAGGGCTCACTGGTATGTCCTACACTTTGACTGCTGGCCACAGCTTACCACCTGGAAGGTTCAAGAAATCCACAGCACTAAGAGGCCATTAATTTGGATATGGAATTTGCTGGAAAGTTAACAGATGCCACCTGACTTTGCTGAGTCTTTGGCCTCTTTATTAAGTGTCCAGGGCAGCCTGGCTCTCGTGTGGCTGATTTGATCCTCGGCCTACCCTGTAAATATTTCACACCCCCCGCTCCCCTTGCACCCTTTCGTACATAAACATGTATCCTCAAAATACTTCCTGCTCCCTCACCAAGTTTCATCATTGCTATCTTCCAGCACTTTCTGATGTCCCTAGACATCAGTGTCTGCCCTAGTCCTCCTCCTGCAGCCCTACTGTGCTCTGGACAGGCTGTTACCAGCACCATGCAGCCTGAGTATTTATGGAGGCTGCCCTAGCCATGGCTGGGTGAGATGGCAAAGCTCAGAGCCTGGAGATAGAGAGGAAGGGAGTTGTCAGGTAGAGAAAGGAGGAAAATGGAATGAAAGGCACAAAGGAAAGGACACCCTCCCACCAGAGTGGGGCCATGGTCTGCACAGCATCCCAAGAAACTACACCAGGCCTTTGGAAATGATCAGGCTGAAGTACTGTTCTCTTGATTCCATCTCTTTTTAGCTATTTCTTTTGATGTTCCTATGAAATAACCTCCCCTACTGAGCTTTTTAAAATTTAAAATGACATTCCCTGTCATTTCTGGGGAGAGAGCTAGTATTCAAAATGATAATTACTTTTTATACTATTTCTGCCATTCATATAGTCATACATTATTGCTTAAATCAGCATTTCCTAGAAGCATCTCTGGCCCTCAGTTGCCTATATTTGCTCTCTGGATCTCAGAGAACCCAGAGCGGCAGCTCTCCTCATCCACAGCCTCCTCACTTCACTAGCTGTGTCGTCTGTTCTTCATGTGGACTGTCTGCTCGTGGCTCCATCCGCTCTGTAGACGACTCTTGATTGCCCTGCCTCAGCTGGAACCTGGGCCACTGGAGAGGGAGGTTGGGGAAAAGAACAACAGGGCTGTGTGTCCTGCTGGGTGTGGACCCAAGGCCTCCCACAGTCAAGGAGAAAAAGAATTGGGGAAATGAGGGTGAGTTCTGGAGAGCAGGGGGCAGCGTCTTCTTCTCCTTCCGGGTGGCTTTCCTCAGAATCAGAGTGATGCCGCTAGCAGCTGCTGCAGTGGTCTCTGAAGTTCTGCCATCCTCGTCTCCCCTGTCTCTCCTTACAGCCCTGGGACTGAGGGTCCTTTACAAGTCACATGTCACTCCACTGGGGGGATTGCAGGCTTGGGCAGGACAGTGTGGGAATCTAGTGGGGGGTGGGGTGCTGAGGCAGTAGACTATGAATCCTCACATCCCTGCCAGCCTGTGGGTCCCTCAGATCTTTGGATCCTGGGTCTGATTCCAGGATATATGTATGCATGAGGGTGTGACTGTTGCTCCCCCAAGTCATCAGTAATGAGGCTTCACTGCACACTCTCGGGGTAGCAAGTTAGAGCAGAGGGGAATATCTTCAGGACCTCAGAGTGTGGAAGGGAATTCACAAGTCTGTATGACCCTTCCAGTCCTAAGCCCTTCTTCCTTCAGGTCTGGCCTGTCTCCTGATCACACTCCTTAGAGAAACGACCTGGCTCTGTCTCTGCAGCCAGGGCCTTTTCCATTTGCAGGAGTCTCAAGCTAGTGTACAGGAGATTTTATATTTTCAAAATAGCTCCCTTTAATCTCTCTCCTCCTCAAGCTTGGCATTTCCTTTCAGAACCTCTGCTGGCTGGAAGAGAAAGAGAAAGAAGTTGTCAGTGCCTTGCGCTACTTTAAGACCATTGTGGACAAAATGGCTATTGATAAGAAGGTTCTGGAGATGCTTCCAGGGTCAGCCAGCAAGGTGCTGGAGGCCATCTTACCCTTGGTGCAGACCGACCCTCGGATCCAGCACAGGTGAGTCCCTCTGAAGGCCATGGCTGTGTCAGCAGTGGGAGGCTTGGAGGCACCCTGATTTGGGCCACTTGAAGCAGTCCTACTTGTCAGCTCCTACCCACACCCTTCCTGTTGAGGTCATTGCTCCTCCAGGGGCCTCTGCACCGGCCAGCTGGCCACATCTGAGCAGATGCCACCACACTGTAAACCAGGGCCATGTCCTTTGCATTAGCTCTCCATTGTGTTGAGTAGGATACATTCTTGGGAGCCTTCCGTCACCACTTACTCATTCCTATCAATCAAGTCCTCAACCACTGGGATGATCAGCTGATAAAGCAAGAGATAGGAAATCCTTTGCCTGTTCCAGGCCAGGACTTTGTTGAGTGCAGCGGCTTTGATTGCTAGAGTGCATTTTCTTCTTAAAGGTTAGCAAGCAGCTTGCCCCATGTTCATTGTTAAGTATAAAAAGGAAAGCAGTATGATGTAATCTCCAAGCTGGCAGGAGCTTTTCTGAAGAGGCTGGAAAGTTTGGAGGTTTGTCCGTGGTACCTGTTCAGGATCAGAGTGTCTCTGTGTCGATTGCTCTAGTTGGCTTAGTGTCATATAGCCCCATGAGGCTGTTCTTCGAACCTCTTTCAGAGCTTGGCAGTGAAGTTCACAGTTATCCTGAGAGATAAAACAATGTGTCTTTATTTCCAAGAAGCTTTCTGCCTGGGGTTTCCACTCTGTTGACCTCTGAAGATGGTGGCTTGGCCTAACTTGATGCTCCCTGTGCTGCTGGACTTGATGCTGCTGTCAGCACCATGGCTCTCCCAAGGCAGCCCTAGGAAGGCTCAGTGTCTCCTCTGAGGGAACATCAGACATGTGGATGGTTTTCTCCAGACGCTCTCATGCCTCTGCTCTCATGTGATGGTCCCCACCAGGGAGGAATTAAAATTGAGGTGAAAAGCTCAGCTCCCCACCATTGATAAAGCACTGATTGTGTAATTCACATTGAAGAAGGGAGTGATGAGACAGCTGCAGTGGTCCTGTTCAGAGTCCTGAAGAAGAAGACGAGGAAGAGCTGAGATCCATCTGGGAGAAAGGCAGCTGAATTGGCAGTCAGAAGATAACCAGAAAAGCAAAGGGCGTGTGGCCGGTATCAAACGTCCCCAGAAGCAGAAACATTAAGAAAAAGGATGGAGGGCTGGGGCTGTAGCTCAGTAGTAGAGCACTTGCCCTGCATGCCTGAGCCCTGGGTTCAATCCCAAGTACTGCTTGGGGAAGGGATGGGGATAGGGTCCCTGGCGTGCTGCCACCTGCCTCGGGCCTCTTGGGGAAGGAAAGTCTGTGACAGTCAGCTTAGCTGAATCCTATGGCGGATGGAGTCACAGTGTGTTGTCACTGGGATGGCAGCTTCTAGGGTGCAAGTGCTAGGCAACCCAGTCAGCCCCAAGGGGACAGTTGGGATGTTTTGTCTGTCAGTTGATAAAAATTAACATCTCGAACCATTTCCTAAAGAGGCTAAAGGGAAGTAGCCGAGTGTGGCCACAAAGGAGCGAGAAATAGAAACTCTCCTCTAGAAGCCCTATGGCTTCAACTCATGAGGAGAGGGCAGGCATGTGGCCATTGGTTTCAGGGCTCCAGGGAAACTGCAGCCCTGATGACCAGCAACATTAAGCATGAACTAGAAGTGTTTTCCCACCCACCGATCACTGCCGGTGTCCGCTGTGTGCCGCTTCAGTGGGCTCTGTCCACAGGTGCACTGGAAGGCAGCGGGCCTCACCTGCAGACAGGCTGCAGAGCCGGTCACCCCTCTGGAGGGCAGGGCCCCGCACCCCTCCTGCCTTATCCATTTGAGCCCCTGACACCATCCCCAGGCTTCTTGACCAGCTCCTCTCATTTCTCGAGGACTGGAAGAGTTCACTTTCCTGCTACTGACTGTTCTCTGGTACAGGTGGAGGGAGCCTTGACTGGCAGAAAGCTTGGCTCCCTTCCCTCATGCTGAAGAACTGGGTAGAGCACTGTTGGGTCCATTTTTCAACACCTTTGGTGTTAGAACTGACTTCAGTCACATCTTACAGTGTTACAGAATTTTCTCTAGACTGAGCCTTTGGTTCCTAAGCATCTGCTCCATCCCCTTCGGCAGTGGAGAAGCGATTGGTTTTGTTCTTCTGTTGTGATAAATAAAATTAGCAATGAAAAAGTACCTCTTTCTAGAATTCCTGAAGAAAGCTGTCTCTAATTACTTTAAAGTTGTAGAAGGTGTAAAAATTTTGTATTTGGACCACTACTGTACATTGTCAAGGTGCTCCCAGATCCAAGGGCTTCTGCTTGATGTGGTGACATCACCACGTATGTGGAGCCTGCTGCCGTGTGCAACACACACACACACACCCAACACATCCCCAGCACAACCGGTCCCCTCACGCACCTTGCCTCCAATGCTTTACCCTGAAGTCATCTCCACTCAGCCAGAGCTGCATCACTGAGAGCGACCAGGCTGAGCAAGGATAGTGGGGTTCCGTTAGACTACAGCCCCGTAATGAACTGTCCTGTCATCAGAATCCCTCAAACTTGTTGACTCTGTGGGCTATCCAAAATGCCTGTCAATCCCATCCACACAGGAAGCTCAGCTCTGACCCAGTCCAGTGGGTGGTAACAGGCAGGAGGAGAGAGATGTCCTCAGAGTCTTGTGGAGGGATGTGAAGTTTGAAGAAGCTATTATGATGGGATTTTTATGTTATATTTGGGAAGTAAATGTTTTATGACAGGAACTGGGAGCTGGCTCTGTGGGAAAAGCACTTGTGCAAGCACAACCACTCTGGGGCATTAAGGAGGCCCACTGGGGTTCGCTGGCCACCAGCCTCGCTCCAGGTTCAGTGAGAAACCCTGTCTCAAAGGAATAAGATGAGTGTGATAGAGCAGGACACCCCGCATCCTCCTCTGACGCATAGGCACACTCCCATACACATGTATGTACACCACACACATAATACACCAAAACAACCTTTGTAACAGACTAGAGTATAAACGTCCACAGAGTCTTCACTGGATGTAAGGGGAAAGGAAACAAGATCTGTTGTAAGCGTGGATCGGCGGGGCACTATGGTACTTATCCATAATCCCAGCGCTCAGGAAGCCTAGGCAGAAAGACTAGAAAGTCAGGGCTTGTCTTGAATACAGAGCAAGACACAGAGAGAGGGAGAAGGAGAGGATTTATAAAAAGAGAAATGATAGTTGTGCTGGATTGGTTTCTAACGTTCCTTTAACTCCTTTTCTCCATAGCTCAGCCCTCTCCTCCTGCTATAGCCGTGTGTACCAAAGCCTTGCCAACCTCATCCGCTGGTCTGACCAGGTGATGCTGGAAGGAGTCAACTCAGAAGACAAAGAGATGGTGACAACTGTGAAGGGGGTCATCAAGGCTGTGCTGGATGGAGTGAAGGTACTGGACACAGGCTCCAGATGTCCTAGGCAGAGGTGTGAGGCAGCCAGCCTGTTAGAAGTTAAGAACTTACTTGTAGACAGCGCATTAGGATGAGTGTCTTCCCGCAGCTGTGGCGTGGGTGGGTTCTGTTCAGTAACTACTTTGCTCTCTTAGGACCAGTGGGAATGGCTCTTATAAGCCTTTGGAGTACTTCTCCAGATAATTGGAAAGGCTGCCAGAGACCATCAGCCCTTCCTCCACCTGGCATTCATTTCTCAGTGGGTGGTTATGTCCCAGGTCTGCCTGAGCAGGTGCGCCAGTCGCCAAAATGCAGTGGAGATTGTTTGCACTGGCTTTTAGCAAACCTCCTAGTTGGTCTATCAACCATTGCCTTTGTATGTCATAAGAACTTGGGATTCCTGGTAGAAAAGCAGGACTGAGCAGTTTGAAACTGTCTTCACTTGCTCTGCACGATGAGCTTTACTATCCAATCCATCAAAAGCAGCCTCATAGGAAATGAGGGATCACAGAGTGAGAAACAAAGGCTACAGGGGGCCTGGAATTGGGGTCTAGGGCCAGCCTCTAATGGAGGAGCAAGACAGAAGGGAGGGTGTGACATGGTGAGGGCTTTGGCAGTGGGCAGGAACGTGGATACCTGCTGCTGTTCTGAGAGGCCATGCTAGGCAGTGGAAAAAGGCTAGCCTAGGAGCCTGGCTAGCTTTGGATCCCAAGCTCACCACTTAGTAGAGTTGAGCAGTTTACTCAGGGATTCTTTACCATGGTTTATCTTAACACTGGTTGGTGGACACACCCATGAACACACCCATGAACTGGTATAATGGTAGTACCCTGTGTTGTAGGACTGCAGGAAGGGTTAGGGTAGTTAATGCATAATGTTTCTAGAACAATACATGGAATATACTAAACTCTTAGGTATTAGCAGCTGTTCATTATTAGTTGTGTGGTGCTAAATGTATGGATATGGCTTGGAAAAACTGTATCTCTTTCCTTTCTAGTCATTTCAATCCAAAATTATAGCTTAGGTACTTAGCCTAGGTCAGAAAGACTTCTTCCTCACTCAGGTAGTCTGTGAGGTTCCTGAAACTTACCTTCTTGACAAGATGTTCCCCCAAAACCCTGGAGAACAGAACAAAGACCCCAGAGGGTTTAAATTATAGAAAGAAGGCCAAGAAGGCATTTCTTTTCTTTTCTTTTTTTTAATGTGTATGGATGTATTGCCTGCATGTATGTGAGTGCACCCGTGTCGTGCAATGCCACAAAGGTCAGAAGAGGGCTTCGGATTCCCCTGGAACTGGAGTTAAGGATGGTTCATAGCCGCCATGTGGGTGCTGGGAATCAAACCCAGGTCTTCTGCAAGAGCAGTCAGTGCTCTTAACTGCCGAGCCACCTCTCCAGCCCCAAGAAGGCATTTCTTAGGGAGAGAAATTACTCCCAAATAGACTGTGCTAGCTGAAGTCCTGGGGCTGCTTCCCCCAGCACCATTTAAGTCGATGCTGGTGTGTCTGCAGGGACTTTGGGTTCACTTAGAGGGAGGTGTGACTCCACATCCGTCTCCTTTGATTGCTCCCCTAGTATCTAAGCTGTCAGGCTCCATGTCTGTTTTGGCTAGTGAAACAAAGAATTTAGGGTACAGTTGAATTATCCCATCAGCCTTTACCCCAGCTTCTCTGAATTGGTCAGTTGGTCAGTGGGGCAGTATGAAATGTGACCTGGGCCATGCCTGTCAGCCGAGTTCCATCTCACTCACCCTGTACTCTTCCTGCCCCATGCCTGGAAAGGCTATTGTTTACAATCATGTTCCAGGTGGCATTGTTCAGGTTTCCTTCTACCAAATTGATTCCAATGAAAGGTTAAAAAAAAATTAGAACCGCTAAAACACAACTTTGTGATGTTCCCAAGTAGATGTTCTTTATAGAACCCATGAACACATCATCGTGTTGATTGAAAGACACGTCTGAATGAAAACATGTCTGTTTCTCAAAGTAACCAGAGGGACAAGGAGCACGTGTGCAGCCAGTGGAGTTTGAATTTGCCAGTGTCTTGACAGTAAATAATTTCACAGTTGTTTTAGAAGTATTTTAGCCAGAACAGGGCCGAGAAGTCAGAGCCTGGAGGATAGGCTAGATGCTCTGAGGCCCACTAGTCTTGAGTACACAGGACAGCAGCAGAAGCAAAGAACCAACTCCTGAAAAGCCCTTCACACACACTGTGTCACATGTGTGCACACGTGCACGCAAATACTTTAGCCAGAACAAAAGATTCTGTAGGTGAGGAGCTTATAAATTGGGTTTTGTCTCATTTATTATTAAGAAGCATTTATTGAGCGCCTCCTGTGTGCCAACAGTGTGACAGAACTGGGAGCCTGGTGATGAACAAACCGGCCCTAGCCTTGTGGAGCCTACAGTTCCCTGGCAAACAGAAACCTGCAGTTCTGTGATGGGACACTGCAGGAAAGAGCTCATGCTACAACAGGCAGATCACCTGCCTTTCCCAGGGAGGTCAGAGAGACTTCTCTAAGCAAAGACAGGCCAGCTGACCTGTGTTACTAGAAGCTTCTATTAGGAGTCAGGCGAGTAACAGCTAACATTAGTAAGTGCTTCTTTATATCGCCCATCTCCTTTCTCATACCCTCCGAGATAAGCATGTCCACAGGTGGGCAAGCTGAGGTGAGGCCATGATTCCCACACAGGCCCGCTGGACCCAAGCACTTAGTCATCTTTCACTGCCCCCTCCTAGGAGACTGTCCAAAGGATCCTCTACATCTGTACCTCCCAGCCAGTTGGCTTCCAGCCTCCTTCACTGTCCCTGTGAACAAGGATACCTTATAAGCCCATGTCCCCATGTGTAAGGGAGCCTCCTTCAGCTGGGAGGGCCTGGAGGGTACAGCACAGAAATATCTAGCTGGACTGTTGTCATCCCACTTGGAGGAAAAGCATTGGCAAGTTCCTTTAAACTGACTCACCGTCCTTCAAAGTCGTTCATTCAGTTGTTAAATGGAAATTTTTTTTGGGGGGGGGTTGAAAAAATTGTTTGAAAGCCAGATTTTTTTGGTTTTGTTCCTGAATGAGTGATATCCGTTTATCATGTAAACCTTCACATAAATACCACTCATTAGCTGTGTAACCATGGGCAAGTGACTCCTCTGGGATTTTCAAAGGTTAAGAAATGCCCTGAAGCTGTGAGGACAGACTAATATGTCCATGAGGTACCTGGTACATGCTGAGTGCCCAGCAGGTGGGAGTGAGCACTGTTCACCATAGAAACCTTCATCAGAAACGCTCACGTTTACCAGTCCTGGCTGGGAGCAAGGCTCCTTCTAGGGAGACATGCGAATTTCACACCTCCTGTTTGTGCCAGTTAAACTCCCACTTTCCTAGGACCCTGAGACCCAGCACTTTAGAGTTGCCTTCTCAGGCTTTTCTAGAAATGTCAGCACTTCCTGTTTCCCCGGGTCTCTAACCACTCTTACAAACCAAAGTTTTTATAATTAAAACAAAATGGGGCTGGAGAAGTGACTTAATGGTTATGAACACCTCCTGCTCTTTCATAGGATCCACGTTGAGTTCCTAGCATCCACTTGTAACCTCAGCTGCAGGGAGCCAGACACCGTCTTCAGGCCTCTGTGGGTACCAATTCATACACATACACATAAGGAAAATTTTTAAATGCCTTCTTACACTGGAAGCTGTGGAGAAGACCTTGCAGAAACTCATCTGTTACTTCAGCGTCATCACCCAGAACATCTGAAGAGACCAAGTTGTATGCCAAGGAATACTTAGAGGAAGGGATGTTTTCTGACTACATCCATTAGGATTAAGTCTGACAGCAAGAAAACCCAAACAGTAGCAGCTTTTAAAGATGCAACTTCTAAGCAGGTGTGGTGGCGCATGCCTTTAATCTCAGCATTCAGGAGTCAGAGGCAGACAGATCTACATGAGTTCAAGGCCTGCCTAGTCCACATAGTGAGTTCCAGGCAGCCCCACTGCAGGGAGACCCTGTCTCAAAAAGACTGGGTGTGGGTGTGGGTGTGGGTGTGGTGGTGTGTGTATGTGTGTGAAATTTCTGTAGTCAAGATGGCTCAGTAGGTAAGTGCTCTCGCTACCAAACCCCATGACCTGAGTTTGATCCCCAGAACCCACAGGGTGGAAAGAGAGAACTGACTCCCACAAGTTGTCCTCTGACCTCCACAAGCACATTGTAGCTCTCAAGTGTATACACTACACACACACACACACACACACACACACACACACCTTTCATGCCTTCAGTCTATAAAGTCCAGAGATAGACAGTTAAGGGCTAGTGTAACATTTTTGCAGGGGGATAAGGAATGCGCCGTCCCACGTTCCCACTGTCATCACACGTGGCTTCTCCCTTTTGATTCGAGGTAGCCACCTCCTCTCTAGCCGTCATGATTAACCTCAGACTACAAGAGAGACAAGGTGGGAAGCTGTGCTCCTCCTTTTAAGGAGGCTGATTAGAACGCCTCACAGAATTCCCACCACATTTTATTGGCCAGAGTTGGTCATGTGAGCCACAAGGACTTGATTAGGAAGAGGAGATGCTGTGGGAACAGCCAGCCTCACGTTCCCTACAAGCCATCTCTAACCTTTTTGAGCGTATTTTCAAATGTTCTGTTATAAATAACTTGAGACACTTGCAAACAGTGTAGTGAGTAGAAAGACGACGTCTGGACGACCATGGGCCACACCAGTCCCCGTGTCCACCCATGACCAGTCTTCTGTTCCTTCACTGACTCCTTGGATCGCAGGGTGTGAACTGCAGGTGGTGCATCCTTCACGGAACCACCATGGTGCCAGGCCGGGAACAAGGCTTGCTTGTCCTGGAAGGGCTCACAGCAAATATCTTAGGCCTTTCAGGCCGCAGACCAGTCACACGCTCCTTGTTGTTTTTGTTTTTGAATGAATCCTACCTTGAGAGCCCCCTAGAAACAAGTCCTGGGCTGGCTTTGGCCTGCAGGGTGTGGTTTGCTCCTCTAAAAAGGTTTGCTTCTTTAAATCAGTGTCTAAATGAAGTTCATGGCTGAAGTCCATCACAGGTGCTTAAGTTTTCCTTTCTCTTTATTTTTTTCCTTGAAACTTGGTTTGGTTTTGTTACGCTTGCCGAGTCACACAGGTCCAGAGCAGGTCTGCGGTGAGCTGTGAGCTTCTGCAAGGCCCTGGCTTCTGGGTGACTCCTGCAGCTGCTGTTTGCCTTGTAGCTTCTTGCCCCAGTCTACATCATTAGGGTTGTCATTGTCTTAATTATTATGTTTATTTATTTTGTGTGTGTGTACATATGCATGTGTGAGTGTCACAGCACCTTTGTGGGGGTCAGAGGACAGTTTGCAGGAGTCGGTTCTCTCCTGGGGATTGAACTCAGGTCATCAGGCTTGGTTGATAATTGTCTTTACCTGCAGAGACATCTTGCAGCCTTTGTTCTGTTTTGAGGGGGGGGACTTTTTTGAGACAGGGTCTCCTTGTTGTCAGGGCTGGCCTGGATTTGCTATGGAGACCAGGCTGGCCTTGAACTCACAGAGATCTGCCTGCTTCTGCCTCCCAAGTGCTGGGACCAAAGGTGTGCGCCACCACGCCCAGCTAGCCCTTGTTTTTTTAAATCTGTGTGTTTTGTTTTGTTTTTTGTTTGTGCATGCATGTATGCGTGCATGCCTGAGTATGTGTGTGTATGCGCCATGGCATGCATGAGACAGTCAGAGGACAACCTTTGGGAGAGAGTTCTCACCTTCTGCCTTATTGAGGGAGGGTCTCTGGTTTCTGTCACTGCATTGCGTACTCCAGGCTGACTGGCCCGTCAGCTTCTGGGCAGTGCTCCTGTCTCACTAGTCTTGCCTCAGGACCGGGTGGGCGTCCCAGCTGCTGCTGTGCCTCATGTGCTAAGCCCAGTGCTGCTTGGCTGCATGTGGGAACATTTCCATCTTGCTGCCTCTTGTTGTCAACTATGCAAGTGAACAGGGAAGATCCCTTTTTGTCCTTTTTGTCCCTGTAAAAAGTCATTCTGGGGCTGGACACACGATGACAGCATCCTACAGTTTCAGTCACAGGAAACCACCCCAGCCTTGCTGGCCTGTGTCCTTCACATGTCAAGACCAGACCTGATACTCTTCTAAAGCATGAAAAGAAAAGCAGACAGTAGGACTGAGCCTTAGTGTGCGTTCTCAGGCCTCCTGTGCCCTAGCACCACACCCAGGAGACCACAGGCCAGAACGTGACAGGGTAAAGATGGGACCTGAGCTGCAGGCTGGTGTACATCCATCCAGGGAAGTGGAATTTCCTGCTCTGGGTACCTAGGGAACACTGTCTACCATGCTGTCCCTGGAGACTTTATGGTAAGGCCCCTCTGCCAGGGAGGCCTTTGTCTCAGCCTCAGTAGGTAGGGAGAAGGCTTAAACTGGGCATCTCTCGAGCCCCGAGGCTGTGTGTTGACTTGTTAGCAGTCATTGAAGCTTGTCTATCTCTCAGTCATGGTCAGCAGGAATAAAATGAACATGGAGACACTGTCATGTTCTTAGGAGAAACTTTTCCAAGTATCTTTTGGCTTTTGAAAGCTGATTTTCAGTGAAAATGATAGTTGGTATCGTTTATGGTTGTTGGCAGAAGAGTCCAGAGCGATCTTTTCCAACTTGTCTTTTTTAACTTGGGACTCAGTGACAGTTAAACAGGCCACTGTCCCTCTGAGAAAGTCTGCCTCCCGGAGACTTGACTCTTCATGAGGTGCTAGGCCCTGGCCAGCTTATAGATAGGTAGCCAGCACTCATTGACATCAGGGAGTTGGAAGATACCTAGATGGTAGAGGTTCTCAGAGCCTTCTGTGTATGATAGTTAAGGCAAGTTGAGACTAAAGCCATTCCGTTGGGGCAGGAAGGTTGGCAGAGAAAGAAAAGGCCGTCTACCCCTTTCCCAGGATCCACCATGTAATAACATGGTCTTGGAATTCCAGGGCATGCTTGCACGTGTGCATGTCATCCCAGGATCCTTTTGTCGCCTCATCGTTCATTAATTGAGGTCATTACTACTGTTCCAGAAGGACAAAGTCTAGTTCTAGCTGTTCACAAGCCAGGAAGAGTTGGTAGAGTTGGTTCCTGCATCAGCAAATGCAAACGTGCAGACTTCTGCCCATTCCTTTTCCCTGGTTAGGAGAGTGAGCTTGGCTTAGCATGACAGCATACTTCCACCATCCCAGCACTCATGAGGCTGAGGCAGGAGGACTGAGAGTTCAAGGTCAGCCTGAGCTACACAAACATGGACTTGAAAGGGGGGCTTCCATGTCAGTTAGCTCTGACACTTTGATCCAGCCAAGGTTGCTGTCTTTCAGAATGAGCTGTCTCTCCCCTCTAGCACCCTCCTCAGGTGATGGGTGAGGAGACCGCCCACTCCAGCTGCTTTCTCCTTTCATCCCTCCTGTGTCCTCGCTTGAATGTTACGTTCTGAATTGTGTGACAAGAAGCAGAAGGCTCCCGCCCTCTGCTGGCCCTTGGCCCTAACAGTTCTCCAAGCACAGAAAGGAGCAAACCTCAGTGTGGCCAGTGGATGTGCTTCTCAGGTTTTATTGCAAGGCACTTTATCTTACAGCGAGCATAGACCATTTTAGAAGATTTAGAAGATATAAGGAAACAAGAAGGTAAGGGGTTCCTCAGTTGTACTTTTTTGTTACATATGTTCTGAATTTGGTTTAATTTCCAAAATACACAGTGTACCCCAGCAAAGCAGGGCTTTTGTACCATTATTGCAGCATCTTTCCACACTGTGTCCCAGATTCCCACTGTGACTTTGTCCCTACTGGCCATACAGGGACTCTTTGTTGGGCTCTGTCGCACCTACTCACTCAGGACCTAGCAAGTATCTAGTCACAGGCTCTTGAGCAGCCTGATTTTACCCCGTGTGACATCCTTGGTGATTGACCCTTTACGCATATCCATATTTTCCTGGGACAAAATTCTCATAACAGATTTTGAGGCTTTTGAAATATGCTGGTAGGTCATCCACAGACCGTTGCCTGCTCTTCAAAGTGACTCCCCTGCTGCCCCCACCCTGCCCCACTCCGCCTCTGCACTGCCCTGCCCCACCCTTGTCTGCAAGTGTCTGTTTTGTTGCTGTCAAACTCAGGCTCTCAGGATCATAACCTTATCGTTCACATTTGTGAAATTTCTCTTTAATATTTCTTTTGGTCTGTTCATCATTTTTTTCTAGTTTCTGTGTAGTTAGAAGAGTCTCTGCTGGCTCTGCCCGATGGAGCTTTGGGTGTGGTGTTGTACACGTCTGAGAGGGTTGCAGCCCTGGTTAGGAAGGTGCTCAGGGTTGCTCCATGCTCCCATCACTGCCGCTGCTGGTACCCACAGCCGTCTCCAAGAGAGCCCAGCAGCAGGAGAGCGTGAGGAAGCTGTGTAGCCAGACACCAAAACACTGAACCCATGTGAACAGAAATGTGGCCACTTGTGCCAAGCAAAAGAAGACAGACAATGGAGGCAGACCTGGGGCGGTGGAGAAATGAGGGGCTGTGCAGGAGCAGAACTTTTGTCCTAAACCAATAGTGATCAAGATTGCACAGCTCTATGAACCAAAGCCCTCAAATCACACACTTAAAACTAAGTGAATTTCATTATGTGAATTACAGCTCTATAAAACTTTTAAAAGAAGGTGGAGCTGGGGTGATGTCTCATTCAAAAAGTACTTACCACATAAGCATGAGGACCTGAGTTCTGTCCCCAGAACTCACATAAAAAGCCAGGCACAGTATCTGTGCTTATAATCTCAGCCCTAGGGAGACGGAGACAGATGGATCCTGGGCTTCTCTGGCCAGCCAGCCTAACCTACTCAGGGAGCTTCAGGTTCTAGTGAAGAGGCACTGCCTGAAAAAACAAGGTGTGAAGCTGGGCCTGGTGGTACATGCCTTCAATCCCAGCAGAGGCAGGCTCTGTGAGTTCAAGGCTAGCCTGGTCTACATAGTGAGTTCCAGGCCAGCTGCGACTACAGGGAGACCCTGGCTCAAAAAAAAAAAAAAAAAGGGTATGAATCCTGAAAGGTGAGACCCAAAAGCAAAAATTAAATTTTGATCTAAAAAAAAAAAAAAAAACCCCGGGGGAGTACTCCTGAGAGTGCCCCCCCAAGAGCCAAGATTAACTTCTGACCTATACACATACACACACACACACACAGCTACAACATGTATATACATGCATGTACATGTACACACACAAAAGTATACACACTATGTAGATCTATTTATATGGAATGAAACCGTGGGACAGCCAAGGTAATCCAAGCCTAAAGAAGTCAAAAGGAGCGGGGAGGAGGATGGCAAGGGCCTGCAGTGGCGTGCTCTTGTGTGGCCCCGGCAGTCCTCACAGAGGACATGTGCTCAGGAAATCTTCTCAAACTGGGGAATGAGCCCCAGCTGAAGTACCTTTTTTTCCCTTCAAAACCATCTCTATGCTGATTCATATGACCCTTTTCCAAATCCATTGACAAGAACTGCAGCCAGTCCCCTGGGGCACCAGATCCTGCCCAGCCTAAGCCAGCACACTTAGGGGAAACACCCAAAGCCAGAGGCTGGATGGTTAAGGGTATCATTGTGCACATTACATGACAACTTTAGGGAACCAAAAATGTCTCTCACCACACTCCCAGACTGCACAGGAACCCCACTATGCATAGCCTAGTCATCTTAAGACCAGGGCTTACCATTTCCTCTTCCAAGAGGAAGTGCCATGGCACAGTTGAAACTCTGCACTGTGCTGCAGAGGTATTTTTAGAGGATGAGGGGCACTTTGGGAAGCTGTGCAGATTACCTAAAGCAAATAACCTCACATGTGGACTTCACAGGAAATGTGTGGACACAAAAGCAGGGTGTCCTGATAAAGGCACAGTGGTGTCATCCCCTCTCTGTCTCTGTCTGTCTCTCATGGAATGCAGGAGCTAGTGAGACTAACCACTGAGAAGCAAGGGCGGCCATCACCAACAAGCCCAGTGAAGCCCAGTTCCCCAGCCAGCAAGCCTGACAGGTGAGTGCTGAGCAGACTCGCCCATCTCAGGTTTGTCTTGACTGTTGATAAGGATTCTGGGTGAGCATGTACATAGAAGGAAGTGAACCTGTCCTCTCATCTGGGGCCTGTTCTAAGCAGCTTCACCTCACCCTGAATGCCAGCTTGGCCATAGGGCAGGAGAGTACCCTGGGCTTTTCACTATTAACTTCATCAAAAGTGTAAACTGAGAGCCGGATGTGGTGGCACACACCTTGATCCCAGCTAAGGGAGGCAGAGGCTGGCAGATCTCTGAGATGGAGGCCAGCCTGGTCTACATAGCAAGTTCCAGGCCAGA